AACGATATCGATGAATCATCTCGCGGAATCCCCCAACACTTTTGTCTTTTATTACACGTGTTATTGCGCGTGTGTTGCTCGTGTCTCGAATGGAGACTCGAGCATAAAATCGAAATGCATCGTGTCGCATCGAATTTGTCCCCAACAAATCCCCAACTTCCCGTTACGTCAAGGAATATAGGAGCAATATTGTTCTCGAAACAGACCGCGGGGAGAAGCTACTGCGTAGGACACTCGTCACGGGCAAGAATAATATTTCTGAACTTGGTGGAAATGTCGATACCAGGAGCGTGTTCTTAACGCTGAATTGATATCGCGTCACGTTGGCTCATTAGATAACAATGGGAATTTTAATTGAGATTGTTTCGAGATACTTGATCTTACGATGTCATCTAAATGGTTTTTCATAGGAAGGTAATAATAATGTTTTTTGGTAAACAAAGCGATTTTCTATAATTATTTGTTTAAATTCAAATGATTCAATCGTGTGTATCTCGCAAATGTTATTTTAAAAATTCTTCGAAAATTCGGTATTATTTAAAGAAAGTCTGTCCTCCATTTTTTTACATTATCTTTTTTGCTAATATCGTAGTAGTTTCCCAGGCTTTCTCGAGTTACAACTCCCATTTAAAACACTAAACTAGACAAATGACTTCAATTCTCATAAAAATGAGTCACTTCCTTTCGTTTAAATTATCACATATATTTAGAATATACACCATAACATAATATTATTCTTAATATTTCACTTATTAAAAATCTATCTATTAAAATTTTCACACGAATTTGTGCAAATAACCCTTAAAAAAAACCCTAGAAAAAAATTCACAAATACTTTATTAGATATTCTGTTTTTGCAGATCTATTTTTCTATAACTTATGCATAAAGTTGAAAAAGAGAGAGAGAGAGACGCATAAATAATTCGAAAAATAAAAGGATAAAGAAACAGAAGGGAAACGTATGCACAGGAAACGCGGATGATCCAACAAAAATAATACAGGCAGACAGCGAGGCGCATGGTATATCGTGATATTCGATCCAAGGGAAAGCGGAAGTCTCTCTTTCACTCTCTCTCTCTCTCTTTCTCTAACGATGCTCGGCTTATTCTTACTTGAGCGTCTCCTTTGGCCGCCACTAAGCATGCCGTCTGCGAATCTGAATGGGGCCGTCATGCCTGCGTGGACGCTTCCATTGTTTCTCAGGGGCTTTCATTTCGCCGACGGTCCTCCTTCGGGCATCACAAAGCCATTGTTGCTCGGGACTTCTTAGATTTCATTCTGATTAAGCCCCGCCGACCGTTCCACGCTGGCCCACTTTTCCAATTACAACTCTGTGTGCACAGCGGCCCCAGGATTAATCTGCGACGAAAACAAATCCACGTCCTGCAACGATTATGCGCATCTTCTTATTGTCCCTACACGTTTCTTCTCTGCAAACCAATATTTCGATTTGGAAAATAATAATGATAAAAAAAAGAAGAAGAAGCGTGTCAATAAACATTTTCTCGTCCCTCCTCCAATCGCAATATCGAAATTTCAATTTCTTTTTTCCCGCGTAGAAAGAGAAATTTGTTATACAGATATTATAAACACGAGGATTTCTCGCGAGGTGGGCAAGGAATTTTGAAGCAGTTTGTGAAAAGCAGAAATTCCACGGACGCGTACTCCAAGCCACACACACTGCTAAGAGACATATTAATTGCTGACGTGCGCTAATGGCATGCACGCGTAATGCGCCGCAAAATTTATATCGATCATAAATTAGTCGGAAAGTCGCTCAGGAGTCGGCCAATAACTCTCAATATCAATGGAAATTTCGATGAGACGAAAGTTTTCGAATCAAAAATACGATTGACAACAAAATGTTGAATTGCATTTGACAATTAATCATCGACGATAAAAAATCATCAATTGAATTTATATACAATTTATATCTTACTCGACACTTTAAAACAGAATAATATCTTATACGTGTAATAGAGAAAAAAATTTATGAAACGAAAAATATCGTACTGGGTTAAAAAGAGTCGTGGTTAGGTTGATAGAGGTTCGTTAGGAAGCAGGGGTGGCCACAGGCTGTGTGGTTCGACGCTCGATTCGACGCTCGATTACTCGAATCGACTGTGCCACGGGTCCTCACGGTGTCATGTACGTGTCACTCGACTCCCCCGAGCGAGCTTTCGAGTGCATCGACCGCGGCAAATTCGCTTATACCACGTACTTGCATGAGAATCTGCGGACGCGACGAAAAATCCGTACGTTCCTCGCGACCTGGCCTGACCAATCGTGGCGCCGTTCACTGGCTCGTTGAAAAATTAAACGCGAGAGAGCACACTGTACACCGTTGTATCCCTACTTCATTCCGTCTTCCCACTTTCCCCCTTTCTCTCTTCCTTCCTCTTTGCTCCTCCTCCTCCTTCCTCCAGGAAATCTCGTCCTTTTGTTTATACTTCCACGAAAGAACAATCGTTTCGAACAGGTTTCCTTCACCGATGGATGGAAATCGAGGAAAAACATAAGCACGGTTGGAAACACTGTTATAAAATATAGATCACGTATACGGATCACATTTGCAGGATTGACGCGTGTGTTGTTGGGTTTTCGAATAGGCGAAGCCCGCAGAAAAGCGAGAAACGGAGCGACACGGTGCACTTGTCAGCTTCCTCTCCACGCGTAGTCTCGAGGCGCGTGAACGTGTATTCGCCCGTTCTCACGGGAGGACACCCCCCACCTGGTACGCGGGGTCGTCGACTGGCATCGACGAGCTCTTTTCTATTATCCTCTCGGCCGATCAATCAATCCGGTCGTGTAAGACCTTTTGCGGATAAGAACGAGCCACCATCCCAACAGTCCACTATCGTTATTCCTTCTTGGCTAGCCTCGAATCTCGAAACGGGTGATGAGAGAGAAGAGCTAGCGACCACGCCGCTCCATTGAGGATCTTCATCCCCCAAGTTCTCGCTACGGCACACGAGAGACGAGGTGGCAAGTATGATCCCACATATACACACATACACGTACACAGGGGCACACGAACAAGGGAAAGATGCACGAATACGCGTTCCGATTTTCGCCACGAAAAAGATTCAGAGGGAGAACACCTCTTTTCCTTTCGACCATACGCGTTCCAAGATTGCGAAATAACCGCGATAAGGTGTCACGCACACGCCACACGAAAGCTGCAGATTTGCCGCAGAGGCAAGAGACACGGTGCCTCCGTATCCCCGGTATCTGTTCCTCTTGCTTCCCCTTCTCTTTCATACCCCTCTATGATCAGAATCCCCTCCTTTTCCTCGCCCATCATGGTGGACGCTCGTTTCACCGCCCTCTTGCTTCCTCGTTACCCGTAGCTGTCCTCTTTTGCTCCTCTTGCGCCGCATAACCGTCCGTGGGCAGCACTGTCGAATTCTGGTTCGACGAATTTCTCCTTTTCCTCACGCTAGCGCCCTCTTCAGGCCTACCGGATCTCTCCTGTACAATTTCTCAACCCCCTCCTCTCTTTTTTATTTTAGAAGCTCGTTGCAATTTCTTGTAAATATTGACTAAACCTAAAGTTTGATCGGCGTCGCGATTTTCGTCGATCATGCATTGCAAGGGAAACGCGTCGATGAATAATTTTGTTTCATGCTTTTGGAAGACATAACCTAAAAGGTGGAATACGAAAGGTATTCATATTCAGTCACGATTTTGAGTATAGTAGGAGCATCTTATCGTTGGTTCCTCTTTTACGGTCGATTTCTAACTTATCGACAGAACACAGCTGAAGTATCAACTTAAATAATGCAAATGGGCCGTGGTGGCGCTGCGTGCGAGACTCGGAGGGGAATTATCGAAGTCGATGAAGCGCGTGAAATAAAGGGATGTGGAATAGATCGATGGGATTACTTACATGGACGAATGTGTACACGGAAGATAGGGTTTCGATGTCGCCATTTCCGTCTACGTTTTTCAGCATTTTATTACAAGAATATAGTATAAACTTTCGTTCGATATGTGTGTGTATATGTATAGTATGTATGCATGTATGTCGTATGTATTCATGTATATGCAAGTGGTGGAATGAGTGGGCGTGTACGCATGATCATCCATCACGCACAAATCTTTAGTTTCTTCTTCTCCTTCTTCTTCTTCTTTTTTTTTTTTTTTTTTTTTTATACATAAAGAATCTCGTGTTTTTCAGTTCTATCCCCATCCCGATAGTTCTATTCATCATCGTCATCAACGACCTCAACACAGGCCGCGATGGTCATATCGGTTTCGATAGTTGATCGATATACGTATCATAAGATATCTTGTGTTAATCTTACGTTTTTTTTTTTTTTTTTTTTTTATATCTTTTATACATAAAGAATCTCGTGTTTTTCATTTCTATCCCCATCCCTATAGTTCTATTCATCATCGTCATCAACGACCTCAACACAGGCCACGATAGTCATAGCTTTTTCGATAGTTGATCGATATACGTATAATAATATATCTTGTGTTAATCTTACGTTTTTTTTTTTTTTTTTTTTTT